CCCACATACAGCAACTAGAAGGATGTGCAGCTATGACATACAACTATCTACTGGGGCTTTGGGGGGAAAAATAAATAAATAAAATTGAAAAAAAAAAAGTAGGTGAGCAAATTTATCCCTATTTTACAAAGAGGAGATAAAACTGGTTTGTGTCAAATAATTGGCCTGGCATCCCAAATCTAAACAGAGGTAGAGTGGGACCAAAACATAGGTCCTTTACCTCTCTTTAGTAGCTTCCAATATGTCTTACTATAATAAACCACATTCTGAACAGGTTTCACATCCTCTATCCAGATAGGAATGAAGTTAAAAAAAAAACTGTTCATTGCTGTTTCTTTCATTTAAAAACAACCATTAAGACCTCAAGTTAGTGGTTCACAAACACTTTCATCATTCAACATTCCAGAGATGCGTTTTCTATAAAACAACACAAGTACAAAATTATCCAAAATCTCTCTTCTCCATTTCATTCATTTCAATCTCCCTACATAGCCTAAGATAAAGTAGAATTTCCTACATTGTTTGAGGAAGAGAAAGAGTGATGTCATTCCTTTTTAGCCTAAATGACAAATGATCGGGTTTTAACAAGAGATTACATTCAACCCCGATGAAGAGTAAATAGACAAAAGTGCCTACTGTACACCTTGCAAGAACTAAACAATTTGATCAAAAGACACAAAGTCATTCTCATCAGGAACATTCTGTGTCATTTATATATAAAACAGAAGAGACATCATGCCATAAAGACATAATTTTCATTTTTCAGAAGTATAAAACATAAAGCTTTCCAGGAAGTATGAGGAGAGAGAGGTCCCGTTTTGTATTTTGGAAACTTCATGTCTAGAATACTGAATGAAGTAGAGAAAAAAAGAAAGTAACAGGACATCTTACAACTGTAAGCACAGTAAGACTAGGCAGAACAGCCAATGCTACGGAACGGAGCGAACATCTGTCTAACAACCACATACAAGGAGCTGTGCTTCGTGCTCTAAATATGTCACCTCCTGCAATCTTCACAAAAAACCTCCAAGTATGAGCAGAACTGAAATTAAAATATCCAAACAGTAAAATCCTATATACCAAGGTCTTTAGAGAGACAGCATACCTGTAACCGTTGAAAGACTCCTGATCGCAAGTTTCCAAATCCATAGCGGCACTGTGGACTCAAAGCACTTTCGGATACCTCTTCATAGGGGGACTGTTCAATTTCCCAGTCAAACTCTTCATTGTCATCTTCTACTCCCTCCTCGGGAACCTCAGAAGCACCTAAATGTGTTAAATATTAATTTGCTAAAGTACTGGATTTCCTAGGTACAACTTGGGGAAGAAAAAGAACAGGAAAAAACACCTGTTCAGGTGCACCAAAAGACACATACAAGAATATGCACAGCCCCACTACTCTTAAAAGCAAAAAAAATGGAACCAACCCATCAATAGTAGGATGTATAAGCAATAAGTGCAATGAAAGCAAATGGACCTCAGCTATATATGGATAAATATCACAAAAATGTTCAGTGAAAGAAGCCAGACCAAAAAAACACATACCGTATGAATTATATATATATGTATAAATGTATGTATATGACTTATATATATGTATATATATTTATGTACATGACTGATATATACAATTCAATACTAAGGGTAGGAGTTACGTGGGAGAGGAGGGAGGGAGAAGTAACCAGGAGGAGACACAGGGCAGGATTCCAGGGTGTTGGAAATGTTCCATTTCTTGACCTAGCTGGTAGTGGCACTTCACGTAACTCACCGAATTGTACACTTCTGATCTTAGCTCAAGAGCCCAATATTTTGCCAAACACAGAGATGCTGTTTCAATTGGTCCAAAATGTGACTGACTACTCATTCAATAGAGTTCTTTACGTCTTTATATTATATGTCATCAAATGAGCTATTTTCACATGACCTCCTTATCTTGTCACCTTAAGTATTTTCTCCTATTTCCTATTTGCTATATCCCTTTTCCCCTAGAAACACATAGCATTCCAGATATTCTGTCTATCTTTCTTTCCTCCCAACTGTAACAGACATACCTATTTCTTCCACAAGTGGTTTCGCAGTCCTGGATTTTCTTGGTGCTAGAAGAGCAGTTAACATGTTCAGCCCCTCAAAATGCTGGCCAGGAGTTTCTTTGGGCAATCGAATGGTAAAAATTCCTTAAAGATAAATTTTTTTTATGCTTAGCTAGATTAAAATATTCAAAGACTTCACAAATATATCTAAGAAATATATATATTGGTAAAACAGAAGTCTATTTCATAGAGCTCTGCTGATTCAGCTGTCACCTCTATAAGAAATGAATCTGTTAAAGCTGCAGAATGCTTTAGTCTTCCATAGTATCACCTTCACCTATCGATAATATTAAAAGTCCAAGTCAAAACTTTCACAACTCAACGGCCTGAGAAGGTCATAACTTAGAATTAACCAGCAGCTACTTACAAAATTTATTTCTGGACTAGAGGGGAAAAAAATCAGGATATCTAATCCACTGGAGAATAGCAATAGTCTGAAAAATATACAAAATCTTAATTAAAGCAATTACAGCTTAATAAAATTCTTTGATACCTCAAGAGGTATATTCCTAAAGTCTGTCTAAGGCAGACTCAAATTCTATCTCCGTACTTCTTTCCTGAATGGGTTTATCCACTTCATCTAGGCTCTCCTATGAACTTAGCACATTATTGACTACTCTTACATTTCAGAACATTCTACATCTTTTAGTGTACTAAACTGTATTCTAATATATCAAATACAACTCAAGCCAAATATTTCCACATATACAACCCTCCTAAACCCCTGTGTACATTTAAAATTTAATAACTTCGCTTCAATATGCAACTTACCTGCAATTAAAAGCAGGTTTACTATCTAGGAATTACATTGTGTTATGGGTTAGAACTCTGTCATTTACCTCTTTCATCCCATCTTTCCTCCCTTACCCTAGTTGACTGAGATCAATAAATATTCCCTGAATATATTACACAAGAGTACACAAAGTATTCTCATTCCAGATCAAGTGACAAAGGAAAATCCAGTGGCTTCTATGAAGGGAAAATAAATGGTTTCATGGCTAGCTGAAATGAAGGGCTTATTAACCATGAGAAGAAAATTCAATCAGCCTTTAAATGCCACCTATGGACAGTTTCTCTCTCACTTACATGTTATTAAATTTTAAGTTTGAAAACTGTACAAGAAAGATTTGATTCACAGCTAAAACCATCTACATCTTTTATTGCCTCACACATTTTTTTTACTTTTAAACACTTACTAAATGTAGAGGAAGTAGGGAATAAAACTACTAGAAAATAGAACCACAGTATTTAACTAAATGAACTTGACTTTGAAGAATATTGTGAAAAACTTTAAAGGACTGAAGAAGTTGAAATTGTTAAGAAATCTATCAATAACAGGCACTGAACAGTAAGAAACAATAAAGAATGACAGGGGCAGATTGCACTAGCAATACATCTATGGTCCCCACAGTATCTTGAAACTTTTTTGTGTAGTTACTCTAACATGAAGAATCCAAAGAAAAAACTAACAAAAATCCCAAAGGCAATACCTTTATCTGCATCATAGGACCCTTGCTCGCTTCCATTTTCTACAATTCTTCCAGGAAGGGTTAATCTGCAGATTTAATATAAGGTCTCATGAAGTCCTTTAATTACAAAGCACAATAAGTGATTCTCAATGATTGTAAACATTTACCATGGAAATCTATCAACCATCTTAAAAGGAAATTCCTCAGCATTTCTTAACATTTTACAAACTAAATAACTTAGATTTCTTCCCTAAGAAGAAAGAAATCAGAGATGACTCATCTTTCTGTCTGAACACCCATTAGTCACCGATAAAATAGAGACTTAAAAAGAAAAGCCACAGTAACTATTAGTTATAACTTATTACAGTACTTTCCCCTCGTGCCTGAACAGCAGGGGCTCAATAAAAGTAGACTAACTGGCTTCCAAAAAAAAAAAAAAAGAACCAAAAAATGGGAAACAACAAAACCAGTTGTTTATATTGGACAAATTACTACTTAAAAAAAAAAAAGTAGAAAGCAAAAGTGTTTTTCTCAAATCTCATTATTACTATATGGGGATTTCCCCCTCTTTCATACTAAAGGAAATGAACTGATTTCTCTGTTTCCAGCTTTACCCTGGTTCAGTCAGTCTTTCACTGATGCCCCAAAAGAATTTTCTAAAACAGAAGTCTACTACTTTTCCATTTGAAAAAGCTTCTGTGGCTGCCTGACACTGACTAGACAATTTAAACTCACCAGTGTGGCCTATCAGGCCGGCACCATTCCATTCCAAACTTATCATCTGAGCCTCATTTCCTCTCATAACTCCCTCTCCCTTGCTTCCTACTCTAATAGTAATAACAATAATAATAATAAATTTGGCAGACCCCAAAAGGCCCAGGGCTTCACAACCTAGTTACCTTGGATCCCAATGGTTCCAGGAGCTACAATGCATTTTCCAAACCAAGACCCCTTCTAAGCCCAGTATAAGGAGTCAGTTTACGGATAAATCAGTTTGTTATAACAGTTACAAACACTAACTTTACTATCACAATCAGAATTGAGTCCCAGCTCTGCCATTTACCAGCTCTGTAACTTTCTTTGTACAAGTTAATTAACTTCAAGGCTCATATTCCTCATCTGTAAAAAGGGAAAAATAACAGAATCTATCCCAGGGTTACTGAGAGAAGGAGATGATAATACAAAGAGCTTAGTGGCTGGTACAGTTGGTGAACATTCAGAAGATGTAAGCTGTTATTATCAACTCCCTTCTCCTAAACTCTCTAAGTATGGGGCTAGATTCTTACCGTGTAATAGTGAACTCATATTTGTTCACAGATCTGCCTCCCCTGTTAGACTCTTGATTCCTCAAAGAGAGAGGCGAGATTTTATTAATCTTTCGTGTACTGTAGCAAACTGCATTCTCAAAGATGGCCCATCTCACATCACTCCTCCCAACAGTGTGGTCTATGTCCCCTCCCCTTAAAACTGAATGGGCTTCTGGAACTGTTTTAAGCAATACAATAAAGCAGAGATGACACTGTGATTTCTGAGGTTACGTCATAAAAGGTGATATAGATTCTGCCTTGCTCACTGGGAATACTCACTCTTGAAACCTTCAAGCTACCCTGTTAGAGGTCCAACTCCTCAAAGGAATCAAAACTAGACCCTGCAAAGAGACCACACAGGGAGGTCCTGAAAGTACATGAAGAGAGGTGCCCTCCTCCCTCACCCCACTAGTCCCCAGCTGCTTAGGCCCTTGGGGTTCCAGGTCCTGCCACCATGTCACCACAACCGTATTAAAGACATCAAGGCAGAACAGCCCAGCCAAGCCCTTACCAAATTCCTGACACACAAAAACCAGGACAGGGAGTTAAATGATTGCTGTTTTACATCTTTAAGTTTGATTGGTTATGCAGCAACAGATAACTGGAACAGCAGGCCCTTAATAAATACTAATACCTACTATTTATTGAATGCATGGTTAATTACCAGCCATGATAATAAGGACTATGCAGGCACCAGCTCAACCCTGACATCAACTCTTTAAGATCACAAATATTAGTCCCATTTTATAGATTACAAAACTGAGACTGAATTACTTGCCCAAAGTCATAGAACTGTCAGCGTGCCAAGATCCAGTTGTGCCCAATTCCCAAGCCTCTGCTACCCAAGGAATGGACAAATCTGTGAAGAGAACTCTTTAAACTGTTTCATACATAACCTCGTATTCTGTCTTCATCAAACCCACCGACTTACACACAGTGGCTTTTACTTTGAAATTTTTATTTTATTGTACTTATTTTATTTTACAATCCTATCTCATTTAAGAACTTTTCTCTGAGCCTCTGATTCCTCATCTGTAACATGAGTAAATAATAGAACATACTTTGTAGGATATGCTAAAACCAAACGAGATAATCCACATAAAGAATAACATAAACTTGGTGTAAAAATTCAATAAATATTTGCTATCACCATCAACATCTTCTTCCCATTCTTCATGTCTTGGCTTAAATATCACCTCTTCAGAAAGGCTTTCCCTGGCCACTTTAGATAAAAACAGGCTCTCTTTTACTCTCCCTCAGTGCACTTTATTTCTTTTTAGAAATATGTTTATTTCGTTTTAGTTATATGTTTACTTATTTGTTTACTATTTTTCTCTTCCCACTAGAATGTAAACTACATGAGGCCGGGCCGGCCCCGTGGCTTAGCGGTTGGGTGCACGCACTCCACTGCTGGCGGCCCGGGGTTCGGATCCTGGGCTCACACCGACGCACTGCTTCTCCGGCCATGCTGAGGCCGTGTCCCACATACAGCAACTAGAAGGATGTGCAGCTAGGGCTTTGGGGTAAAAATAAATAAATAAATAAAATTATAAACCACATGAGGCCCCACTACACGCCCAGTAACAAAAACAGAGCCTAGTATATACCATGAGCTTGATAAATAAATCAAAGGAATAAATGAGTAAAGAAACAGGGAAGTGTAGTATATTCAAGTAGGTGAAGTAAGCTAGTCCTACTAGAAATCTGAGCAAAACTGGTTCAGGCCCAGTGAAGGAATCAGCTTGATTTAAGAGGAAGGTTTGTATTAGGAAAGTACTGGGCAGGAAAGGCAGGCTGGAGCTACACCTGAATGCGCAAGATTAGGAGAATAGATTTTCCCTCATAGGAAAGGGGAGGGGGCAAGGGACTGACAATGTTTAGGACGAACTGTGTCCTCTGTAAAATGGGGCTAACGCCTACCTCCAAGAGTCACTGTCAAGATTAAATAAAATAATGCACATAAAGCACTTAATGCGTTGCTTGTTCACCCCATGGAAGGTGAGCAGTAACCGTTAGCTGTTACTACTATTGTTACGGTTTTCCAGGGAGAAAACGCAGACAGACAAGCGCTGAAGGCCCCTCACTGAGACTTGGGGGACGACAACCACAATCAAGGGACAAAACCAAACAGAGAAGCAGCAGACGACGAGGAGGTAGGAGAATGAGGCTACTTCGGTGTCAAGGGGGGTCAAGGAAGGCGAGAATTTCAGGAAGTAGGGAGCGGTCAGCCAAGAGGTCAATAAACAACGTGGACTGAGAAAAGTCAAAGGGACTGGGCAGCCGGGAGGTCAGCGCACGCTGTGCCGGGGCAAGGAAAAAAAAGAACAGAAAAGGAAGGTGACATGGTCCCAAACGCCAAGGTTTTAAATGGCTCCGAAATCTCTTTAATGTGGGGATTTAAGAAGGCTTCAAAAGGCAACGAGCTTCTGCAGCATCCAGAGCGCACGCCTGGAAGAGGGCACTTCCTCAGCACCAAAAGAAGCCGCGGAGATCTCGGAAAGGGCAGCCGTGAAATAGAGACGCGCTCCCTCGCCTTTTCATCCTCCCTCGATAAGCAGTCATCTAATGAATGAATGAATCCCCAAAATACGCTATTCCCCTGGCCGGACACCCAGAACTCGCCTGAGAAAGTACGGCTTGGCGTAGAACTTAAAGTCCACCCCCTCGAAGTAGACGTCGAACTCGGAGACCCGAGCGTAGGGCACGCGGATGGCGACAGTCAGGAAGTCGGAGTCCTGGCTGAGGTCGAAGGCAGGGGTCAGCATCACCGCACCGGACTCAGGTGCCCAAGTCGGTCACTCTCACTGCCGCCGCAGTCCCGCCACTCAAACTCTGCAAGAAGTCCCCACGCGCTGGTACCTGTTCTGTTAGCCACGGCGCTTCCGGCTCGAGGCGGAAGTGCTCGTGCGTGAGAGAGGAAGTCCCGCCCCACGCCGATCTCCATGGAGACAGGACGCTGTTAGTGGAGAGGTGGAGAAAGGGCGTGGCGAGTGCGGCTTTGTGCGCTGGAATTGAACCGAGGGCGTAATTTGGAAGAACCGGGACAAGAGTCCGCCTGAGACCCACCAAACCTCTCTCGAGGTTCTTAGAGATGATTTTAACAGGCATTGGCTTTGCAGATAGACCTGCGGTTCATGCCTTCTCGGCCACTTCCCAGCTTAACCTTGGAAAGTTACAAAACCTCTCTGTGCTTCAGATATCTCTCCTATAAAATGAAGATCATACAAGAACCTAGCCCCATAGAGAGGTTGTGAGGATAACATGAAATTATGAATGTAAAGCTCTCACAACGTACCTGGCAAGTCGTCAGTGCTAGATGTGTTCGAGCAGTCACCGCAGTAGCCACAGCAGCGTTACTGCGGTTTTCCTTAGTTCTCACCTGCCTTGTCAACAATTCCCCTTTCTCCCTCTCCGTCCTTCTCTGCCGATTTCTCTCTCCTCCCTTTCCCTTTCCTCTCCTCCTCTACATCCCTCTCACTCTCCCTCTCTTTTTCTGCCACTTTCTCTCTCCTTCCTAATTCCTTATTTGAGTAGAGTTCTCTCGTTTACAGCGCGTCCATCCCACTAATCTCATTTAATCTGCGCTACAAACTCCGACGAACACGACTCGGAGAGGTTAAGCAATGTCTTATACTCATGCATTTTACAATTATCAGAACCCAGAACGTCCGACTCTTAAACCCTGTTGATGCCTGCAGCGACAAACTGCAGTGCCTCTGTACTCGCCCCTCTTTCCCTTTTCTCCCTCTTCTTCTTGCACTTGTTCAAGGTCCTCTTTTTTGTCTCTTTTCCTTCTCTTCCTTGCATTTACCCCCTTTAGTCTGTGCTCCTCGTACTTTCCCAATGCCTCTCCCACTAGTCTCCCTCTTCCCCTACATATTCCCTTGGCCTTCCTTCCCTCTTATTTTATTTCCTTTTATTTCACCGGTAACTAGAATAGTCCAGGAAATAGTGTTTATTTCCTGGCTTCAAATGTCAATGGAAAAGGGGTGAAAGTCATCTCCTGGGACAGTGGACCAGATAACCTCAAAAGCCTTTTCAACCTCCAGTTTTTAATGAGTCTTGAAAATTAATTAGGACTCATAAAAACATATTAACAGGAGCAAATAAAATCAAAATTTCAAAACAAAAACCACTCTGCTTAAATCTGAGAGTTTTGGTAAAGATAAAATAAGAGGTTATGTGTAAAACAATTTGAAGAGTACTCTTTACACATTCATCCAGTCCTTGGGTAGCAGAGGGATTAATTGAATACTTACTATGTGCCAACACTGCACCAAATCCTTAATAATGATCTCATTTTCCCCTCCTGATAGCTCTATACAGTAGGCATTATATATCCCCATGGTTTGCACAAGATTACATAGCTAGTGAGTGGTGAAATGGGAATTGAAACCCAAGTGAGTCTGATTCCTGAACCCAGGCTCTAAAATATTACAGTGCTGACTCATTCTAATATTACCACCTACCCAACTTGTTCACATTCTGAGATCAAGACTCCTTGCTTGGGCCGGCCCCATGGTTTAGCAGTCAAGTGCGCGCGCTCCTCTACTGGCGGCCCGGGTTCGGATCCAGGGCGCGCACTGATGCACTGCTTCTCCGGCCATGGTGAGGCCGCGTCCCACATACAGCAACTAGAAGGATGTGCACCTATGACATACAACTATCTACTGGGGCTCTGGGGGAAAAATAAATAAATAAAAAATTAAAAAAAAAAAAAGACTCCTTGCTTTAGACCATACTGAGCCTTACAAATAATAGGCACTCGATATTGAAAATGAATTGGTGCAAACTTGGAATTAGTAAAGCTCTCAAAAGGTCTCTTGAGATAGGCCTTTGGCTGGATCATTCCAAATTAGCTCTAGAAAGAGTCTTTACATCCGGCATGGGACCTCATTCCTGTAGGTCACAAGCATTAATATTTTTAAATTATTAATGCCAGAGAATTAACCGAGGCTAAAGCTGAGCTATGCATGAGGAAACTCTAACTGAAAGCAGTTTACAAAGTAGACTGTGCACTTCCTGGACATTTTATTCTGTTTGGCAACACACACACACACACACAGGATTACAACACATAAACAGACTATATGGTTCATTGCTGCTGTTATTTATAAGAAATACATATTGCATCTGCTGTATCACAAGATACTGATAGTTGTAACTATATAACAGGGCTGTCTTGTTTTGTTTGTAAGCTATAGTTCACTTTATTTTTGTATTTCTAATTTGTGGTAAATTACACGAGTTATAAATTCATTCTCTTTTTTAAAAAATAGTTAAAGTTCCCTTGACTACTGTCCAACTTTGATCCTCTCTTCTGCTTCCCCAAAGGTAATCCCTCTGGCCACCCTTGCAGACCTTTCTATATGTCTATATACATTTCTGGGTACACTGTTACTTTATGTTTGTGTGTGCATGCATGGGTACATTATCACACTATAAATGTCAATCTGCAACATTATTTTATTATTTTCCTTGGATGCTTTCTTAGACATACCAATATTGATTCATAGATCCAGTTGAATTCATGTTTCTAGATACAGACATTGCTTAAAAATAAATACAGTATTTCAAAATTTCATGTTAACTCTGCTTCAGAGGGAAAACAAACAGGAATGAAATTTTTCATCATTTTTTGAGCACTCTAAGTTGTATTTTTTGTTTGTTTGTTTTTCCATTTCCTTAAGGCTTACTTTTGGATAGCTTTTCACTATTTTGAAAATAGTTTTTTCCGTGGCCAATTTATTGAGGACAAGTATATAACCTACCATCTTTGATGATATTAAATTAGCCCGTCCTCTGGTCTAACAAACTTGATTGCGATCCACAAGATTCAAAATTAAATGGTAAATTTAAAAAATATTTTCTATAAACAATTCCAATTTCAGCCTTGTTACCAAGTTCTATTGTGAGAAGTCTTTTAATGGTGAAATGCTCCTTGTTTCCAGAAGGTGGCACGCGTATAGGTGAGTAAGACTGTTATCTCAAAGAACAGAGTTTTAACCTCGGTTGGAAATAGCTTCCTGAATAAGCTGTTTATAACTCTAGTTCATTCTCTGAGCCATTTTGGGGAAGTGATGGGATCTTACAGAGAACGTACAAACTACACCTTAACAACTGTTACTATTTTGATATACATCTTTTCAGAGTTTTATTCTATTCATAAAAGTATAGAAAGATTTTTAAACAAAAATGGTATCACACTCTATATTTTCAATTTTCCACCTAATGTAACATTATAATATTTCCATTTGACTACTTTTTTTGTCAAAAATATCGTAATATAATTGTACCCTTCTTATTTATCAGTGTTAGGATTGTAAGTCTTAAGAGATCAGGTAATGATTCACTTTGAGAGAGGAAAAAAATGAAACTAGTAATAACATCATAAACATAGATCACAAAACTAAAATAAAAATACAAAAGTTAGGATACAAACTAGATCACACATTTTGAAGTTTGAAAAAAATTATCCTTTCATATAACAGTAGCCAACACAATGGGACTAGATATCCTGAGTTTTGCAATTCCAAGTTATAAACTGTTTCTAAGAGGGCTTGGATGAATTCATGGATAACTTACAGGTAAATACTGGATTGTAAAAGAGGTTTAAGGGATTGTGACAACAGGATATAGACAGTGCAGACCATGAGTCTGACACTGGTGTTTTTTAAACCCCTTTATAGTTAAGTACAACTATTTTTTAATCTTTGCACCAATTCTTCACCCCATTCAAGTCACAGTTATTCAAGAGCGCAGTGTTGGCAACAACATAGCACAGTAATGGGTATTTCAGGTAGGTTTTTTTCCAATTCCAATTTACACAAGCTCAATAAAGTTCTGAAGAAAATCTGAAAAGGTTATAGCTGACTCCAGTAAGTTTTTTGACAATGTTTTTGTGCTGTGTGTAGCTAGGGGTTTAGCAACATATATTTCAAAATGCTAGTTCCATTCCATAGATGAAATGCAGGTCACATGGGAACGTTAATGACCAGCATCTCAAGTTCCCTTCATTGTTTAACATCACATAACTAAAAGATATCTACAGAATGTTCTGTTCTGATGCCCTGACCACATGCCCTTTACAGAACCAGGAGTCCGTCTGGCACTAGCAGCGAGTGCTGTTAATGGCTTGCCCCTGACCCTTTCTCCAAAGAATTGTGCTAGCCCGGAGTTTCTCCACCTCGGGTATTTGGTGCCAGATAATTCTTTGTTGTGGGGGGCTATCCTGTGCATTGTAAGATGTTTAGCAGCATTTCTGCCCTGTAACTTCTCAGTGCCAGTACCAGCTCTGCTGTTGTGACAACCACAAATATCTCCAGACTTTGCCAAATGTCTCCTAGGGGACAAAATTGCCCACAAGTGAGAACAACTGCTCTAGATTGACAGGATGCTCCAGGAAGCGATGACCACACCACCACCCCCTCCCCCAGACCCACAACTGTGAGAACTGATAGGAGTGACAGAAGACCTCCTTCAAGGGACAGATGACCCCAGTGTGTTCCATATAGGATCAGGCCAAGGCTTGATTTTCCCCAAGCCCACATCCTTACTCAGCTCTTCCCCTTTCCCTATCCTTCTTCACTTCCTCCCTTACAGATTTCTCCTGAGAATGCCCCTCAATAAATCACATGGATCCAAATCCTTGTCTCAGTCTCTGCTTCTAAGGAACAGAAGCATAGGCCTAGCGCACCTGACCTATAACCACATCTTCAAGAATCCCTTAGCATTCTATATGCTCCTGCAAAACTGCTTAAGTATCTACAATATCTACGGAAAATATGTGACTCCAGTTTTTATGTTACTTTTCTCAAAGTTCTCCTAATCTAGTTATCCTTAACCTCACTAATCTTTTCCTTGATTTGGGGTGAACATGTTTTTACTCCCTT